TGACAGTGTGGGAGAGGGATTAACATCAGGAGGGATACAGTCAGTAACACAGGGTGCTGGGAGGGAGAGGGGTTACTGAGTGACAGTGTGAGGGAGAGGGATTAACATCAGGAGGGATACAGTCAGTAACACAGGGCCTGGGGGGAGAGGGGTTACTGAGTGACAGTGTGAGGGAGAGGGATTAACATTAGTACAGATACAGTCAGTAATACAGGGCGCTGGGGGGGGAGAGGGTTTACTGAGAGACAGTGTGAGGGAGAGGGATTAACATCAGGAGAGATACAGTCAGTAACACAGGGTGTTGGGGGGAGAGGGGTTACTGAGTGACAGTGTGAGGGAGAGGGATTAACATCAGGAGGGATACAGTCAGTAACACAGGGGGCTGGGGTGGGAGAGGGGTTACTGAGTGACAGTGTGAGGGAGAGGGATTAACATCAGTAGGGATACAGTCAGTAATACAGGGGGCTGGGGTGGGAGAGGGAGTTTACTGAGCAACAGCGTGAGGGAGCTAATCATGTGGTGCCGACAGACATCATTGCCCTGAAACTCTGTGTCTTTGTGATTTCTTTCAGTCCTGCATCTGACTGTCCATCCGGAAAAAGGCCACGGGACAGGACAGTCCAGAAACTGACCAATGCCATCAGAGCGTTCGTTTTCACAAACTTACTCCTTGTGGCATTCGGTGTGACCTGTTTAATCAACATTCTCCCCCTCCAGGTAACTGTGTGCAGGCAGAGAGTTCCCTTTCGTTCAGGGGAATGTTAGATCAGAGACCAGGAGGAGATTGTCTCTGTTACCCTGTTAGATTACAGACCAGGGGTACATTCAGACTCTGTTACACCCGTGTCCCCACACAAAGCTGCACAGATACATCATTGACAGAAACAAAGTCCCAGATATAGAAATGCACGGACACGCCTGAGCGTGTGCCCACAGAACATTGGCATGCCTTGAGTTGGGGGCAGTGTCTATAGACCCCGTGCCCACAGCCTATCGTGTTGTGTCTGTGGCCCAGACGGAGGGAGTCACCATTTCAGAACTTCTGAGAACAAGTCCTTGTGTTTTTATTTAGCAGTGTATTCCCGATATCACTTTAGGGATAGTGCCACCTCTGGCTGGAGGGTGTAACTACCTTGTGACATGTTTACGTAGGAAATCCCCGTTGTTAGCCAGTGAGACATTAAACTCCTCGATTGCCAGGCAGTGACCGATGATATTCCTCGATCTGAAACTGATCCACTCTTTCCTGTCCACAGTACCTCACCTTCGTCTTCCACACTGTGGTCCGTGGATTCATCCACTCTGCCTGTGGGGGCCTATATGCTGTTGTGTAAGTCTGAGCGTTCATCAACACGATGTGATTGGGTAAAGAGGTCAATTCCCCAAACAGACAGACAGTGTGTAAATGGGGGAGGGGGTCGGTGAGGGGGTTAATCCCCCTCCGATAGGGGAACAGACTGCTCGGTGTGTGTAAATGGGGGAGGGGGG